ACTGGGATGAGGGAAAAGAGAAAAGAAAGAAGGTAAAAATACATATATATATATATATATATATATATATATATATATATATATACACACACACACAATAGCTAAGATAATTGAACTACTAATTTCTATTAGGTACCACTAACTCCTGGGTTACACAAGCCAAAACTACAGGATTTTCAATGGTTTCTTTTTTCCCTCAGCCCTCAGATCTATCAATAATACCAGCTTATTTTAGAGCCTCAATAAATTCAGTCTTACCCTACATCCAATCACTTTCATTCTGCAATTACCTAATCATTGTATCATTTTGTACAATATATATTTGTTTTTAAAGAAAAATATATCTCAGTCCTGAGGATTGAACCGGGTCCTTGCCCTCAACTACATCCCAACCCTTTTCATTTTTTGAGAGTGGGTCTCACTAAGTTACTAAATTCCCCAAGCTGGGTACAGACTTGCGATCTTCCTGACTCAGCCTCCCAGAGTACTGTGATTACAAATATGCACCACTATGCCCAATTCAATATATATTCTACTGATATACAGATCTGTGGTGGCAAGTTCTGCTACAGGCTCAGAAGTTCTCCTTCCAGAAGACTGCATTTACCAGTTTCTCTTCTTGTTACTTAAGCACCATGTGACTGAGATCTAATCTATTGGAGTGTGGAAGGAATTAGTTTATGCTTCCTCCAGCTGACATCCACTGCTTCAATCTTACTGTCACAGGTTAGAACAGAGGATAAGGAATTGACAGAATCATAAGTCCTTTGAACCCAAACCATTCCTGTTATGTTTTAGCTCCAGAATGTCCCCCCAATCCCTCATGTGATCAGAGGTGGGCTTTGGGAAGGTGATTGAATTATAGGGGCACCACCATTATCAGTGGACTGATCCATTGATGAGTCTATTGCTGAATATGCTATTATAAGGTGGGATCTGGTTAGAAGAGGTGTCACTGGGGGCATGCTTTTAGAGGGTATATCTCCCTCCTTCACTCTTCCCTCCTCTCTTTGGTTCCTGGATGCCATCGGGTGAGCAGCTTTCCTATACCATCCTCTTTTACTATGCTTTTTCTGCTTTGTAGCCAATCAACCATGCACTAAACCCATGGAAACCGTGAGCCAAAGTAAAAATTTTCCTCTTCTAAATTGTGGGTATAAAGTACTTAAGTGCCAGTGATAGAAGGGTGACTAATACAGCAGCTGTCCATAGTTACTCTGGACAGAAGGTGAGAAAGAAACTTCAACCACATCACATGGCACCGCAGGTGAGAAAGAAACTTCTTATTTAAAACAACTGAGGTGCAGAAACTTTTCTTATGATGTATCCAGAATGTGTACTTTAATAGCCACATACACCACACACACACACACACACACACACACACACACACACACACCATATATGAACCACTGAAAACAGCAAATATTTTCTTGGACAAAATGAACTTCAGCCTATTCTGCAATATTTTAATTTTTCACAAAGTTTAGGAATATACAGATTTCATGTATAGATAACAATTAATGTAAAAGACAATCTCTGTATTCCCTTTCTCTTGCTGCTGTAACACAAATAGTCAGTAGATCAGTCAAGGCACCACTACCCATCAGTCATGCACCACAGGTACCAGGAAGTGAATGGGTCATGCTCCATGGCCTTGAATAGCTTTATAGTCTGGCCTTTCCTTCACTGAGCGACTATTCTTTATAATGAAGTGTGCTACATTCACCAGCTCATGAGCTGAAGTCAGACTTACCCAAGGTGTGATGCTGTCCAGTTTGTAGGTCTGTTTCTTCATCTTTCTCTAAATTTATCAGAAGACACAGAATGGATCCTTGCATCAAGACTGGAATGGCAGTGTCCACTCAGATGAGGATAGAGGAGTGGCATGAAGGGCAAGTACTCAGATCAGGAGAGCTTGCTCAGGTGGGTCTTAATGACTACATAAGAGTTCACTGAGAACACCCAGAGTAAGGGGAGGCACAGGCAAGCCAGAGCACCTGCACATGAAAGGGCACAGAGGGCCAGAATGATCTGTTGCTTACAAGGCGTTGCTGCCTTCTGTTTGGTAAAAACATAGGGTGTGTACAGAACAGAGATATTCAGGGAAGGTTTCTCTCTAAGAATTTGGCCTTGATACACAGGACTCTGCAAACCCTTCCACACAATGTGTCCTAGGATGCCTGCTCAAGGGCATAAGTGGGACACAAACTCAATCAAGTCCAACTCACAAGCCATGCACCTAAACACAGTTTAGTTCTGCCAGGATAAAGGGGTATCTTTTCCTCGGCACTCAAAGGTGCCGCGTAGTCTAGCCAGAGTCCTGGTCAACCTCCCCACCACCAAAACAGCTTTAAAGCCTTTTCACAAGGTCTCAGTGAATCCTCACAACTCCATGAAAGAAAAATGATGAAGAACATTTTGTAGTTGAAGGAACTAAGTATGAGATGTAGAAAAGATAAGGGGGTGTCGACGGAGAAGCCTCCAGAACTGCCCAAGCTTCAAATGATTATACTTCCCATTTCCTGTCCAACCCCACTGGCCAAAACCTAAACTTCCTGCCACGCCTATCAGCAAGGAAGGCTGGGAACACTAGTGATATCCCTAATCCATATCTTTCCACTTTCCAATTCTGGGAAGAGTACCCTGATGATGTCTCAAGCTTCTGCCACCCTCCTGAGGGCTCCTGCTGACCACCAGGCCTCTGAGTCTGAGCACGGGCAAGTCAAGCACGCAGGGAGTTAGTGGTGTCAGGGGGCATGCCTCCGCTGTGTCTGATGAAGATGAGGGACCCACACCACCCTGACATATTAATGTGCCTCTTCATTTCTATGTGCTCATACATGTTTCACAGTATGTGGGCAAATGAGGATCCAGATTGTCTCACCCAGATGCTGGGAAAACATGCCCATGTTGCTGTCTGGGATCCTGCATCATCGTGTTCAATATTGATGGGGTAACTTTGCATAGAAAATATTGTTAAACCACCCCTCTGTTGTGAAACATTTAATGATGTCACAATTAGTGATGCGGCAGTCATTGGTCCCTGTGGCTCATATTTCAACAGGAAGCCCCTGGTCCAGAGAGTAGCTATGAAAACTACAACAGGACCGAGTCTGGTTGGCTCCCTTGGCCAGAGAAGTAACCTCAGAGGACATTCTTTTCCCACTTGAATCCTAGGTAATGGAGGACGGCAGAAGGTACTGGCTGTACAGTCTTCATTACCCACTGCCCCCTTTGTGGGACGGTGCAGACATTCTATGTATTCCAGGGTTTGAATGCTGCATCTGCCCTGGGTGTGGCCCCTAAATGGACACCGGAGGGTACAGAGCTGGATGGTGGCAGGTGCATCCAAGTGCATGACATCATTGCCTGCAGTGGCTGTGTGAAAGGAGACACTCACGGGGTACCACCAAGTAGCCACCCATAGGACAGTGTGTGTGTGCGTGTGTGTGTGTGTGTGTGTGTGTGTGTGAAGTATCAGCACGGAGAAGATAGCAGAGCACCAAGGAGAGACATCGAATTGTGATACGTACAGCTGGGTGTCGTCTTCAGCATGAAAGTCTCACCAGGGCCTACACGGGGGCTGAGAGAGCTGAGAACCAGGGTGCATGACACTGAAGGAGTGCATAACAACTGAGCACACAGTGCCCTGCAGCACAGTGAGTGAGGGCCAAGGAGCTCCTAACAAATCCAATGGCCCCTGTTCATGTGGCAGGCTCCAAGCCCTCTTCTCTGCTAGGTTCAAAGCATAAGGCTGTGCCCCAAGGATCCTTGGTAACGGTGCAGGGGCCTGAGCTTTCTGTGTCCCTCCACAGGGCCCCAAGCATGTGGCAGTCTTCACTGACAGACTTCTCCTGATCCATAGTTGCAGGGTCCCTGAATATACCCCTGGGCTGCTCAAAAGGGGCACAGGAGGTCTCAAGTAAGGCCCTGAGAGGGATACGCAAAGGCCAGGAGTCCTCTGTAATGTGACTGAGCTGCTGCCTCTGCCCACACCGGCCCCTAGCGTCAGGGTTCGGCTTCATCAATGAAGCTTCCTTAGTTATTTCTGACTTCATTTTTGAAAACACAAGCACGCCCTGCCCTATTCCTCCCAGACTTCCGGCATTCTAGTTGATAACCCAAGGAAACTGAAAAAAGACACCATACACAGTAAGTCCTTGATTTATGAACATTCAAATTGCCAAATTTCACAGATACAGTCCTCACATTACAAGCATCTGTAGATGCAAACAAACTGCAGAAGTAGCTCATGTGTTTACATGGTCACAGTTGTGCTGCTGTGTGCTTACTGGACAGCGTGATGGTGTGCGGTAGTGCAGCGCTCAGTCAGAGCTCAGGATGTCTGGAAGCAAGAGGAAAAGCAGGGGACTGCTGGCATAGCAAAGCAGTGTATACTGGTTACTCACGTCAGAGGTGTGCTTTGTCCCAATTGCCAATGAATCCAACTTACCAACATTCTCCCCGAGCAAAACTTGCTTGTTACTGAGGGGATATTTGGTTCCTCCCAAAGAACTCCCGTGGCTCCTCGTCTCCCCAAAGCCAAAAGAACAGATGATCCCCATTGCCAAGTAGCCACACACACAGACACACATATGCACACATACACACACACACACACACACACGCACACTCATACGAAGGTGGGAGCCAGTGAAAGGCACAGGACTTGGTGGAGCTACTTTGATCTTGCATTCTCGGCACAGATCAGAGTAAAAGGTTAGATTTTCTCCAGGTTGGCATTAAAGTGACAGCACCGAGCCATTTAACACCCCCCCACACACAGCTCAAACCTTATCCATGCACACACCCAGCCCCTCACTGTGGGCTGCTGTGGGGACGGCCCAGGTCCTGAGCGCACTCTCCTTTGATCTTCACAGCCATCTGGCATTCTTGTGCTGTTTGACAACAGGGAAAACTTAGGCCCGGACACTCAGCGAGACGCCCAGGAGTTGGCAGCTGCGTGCCCTCAGAGAATGGCACAATAAAGGAGAAACTCCAAAAAGTAACAAAACATTTATTTTTAAAACACGACTGTCCTAGCTGACCAAGGCCCTAAAATCCCTAGCACCATGCTGCACACTGGGCTCTGCTGGCACACAGGAGGAACGGGCATCCTGCAAGACCGAAGCCCAAGGCAGCACCTGGGCAGGGAGGGCTCATCCGCGGCCAGGTCTGTCCTTGCCAGGATAGGTGAAGTGGCCACGCTGAGCCAGATGTCACCATTCTGCCTAGTTCGTCATGGACGGGTTCAGGGGCACTTGATCCCCACACAGTTGGCCTCTCCCAGCCCCACTCCCGAATGGTTTACGGAGTCTTTGCCCACGCAGAAGAGCTGAGCTGTGCCCATCCCCTGGAGCGGAGAGAAGAAACAGGCATGGAGCCACAGGCAGAGGCAGGCCTGGTCACTGCGCAGGGCTGCACCCAAACCCGGTGAGGTGTGACCTGTGCCCAGGTGTGCAGGGCCTCTCTGTTTCTTGGGCAGTAGCAGCAGCGTATCTTTAGATTCTGTCCGAAATGCACATTCTCGGGTTTCACCCCAGGTCTGCAACCCTCTGGGGGACACCACCGCCACTAACGCAGCCGCAGGTAGGAGGGGGCTGAGTAATTGAAGAGCAGGAAATCCATCTTGTAGAGGTCGAAGAGGCGCCTCTGGTAGAAAGGGCTGATGTCCTGGAAGAGGCGTGCGGCCTGGTCTCGCACAGCAGCCGCTTTGGGCCGTGGCGGCGGCGGAAAACTGAGGCCCGGCTCGCCCACCAGGTCCAGCACGAAGGCGGCGTCCTCCGCCAGCGTCTCAAACTTGCCCACCACGTCGTAGCGCACGCGGCACGGGTGGCAGAGCGCATGCGCGCGCTCCCAGTGCTCGTTGAAGGGCCCGTCGCGCCGCGTGCGCGGGTCCAGCAGGTAGCCCAGGAACTCGGCGAAGCGCACGTCGTGGCCCCGGGCCAGGGCGGCGGGCTGCGCGCCGGGCCGCAGGCGCCGCACGATGCGCGTGCCGTAGCGCCGCCGGAAGGCGTCGCTGTAGGGCCTGGCGAACTTGTTGCGGTAGGCGGACGCCAGGCGCTCGAAGGGCTCGCGCACGAACAGGAAGGCCAGGTAGGCGCGCAGGCGCCGGTTGATCTCGGCGGGGCCGAAGTCGGCGAGCGAGGGCAGGCCGCCCGGCGCGTGCGCCTGCTGCGCGGGGATG